TTACAAAAAATAAATCAATTGGATAAGGGAAATCATGTGTTCAAATTAATTTTGTGTGAACCATTTATTTTCTCACTGTCTATTTTTTTTTTTTATAAAAAATTGATCCAAACACTTAGTTTCCATTATTTAATTGACTTATTTTTTACAGGGATGATACTCAACAAACCCTAAAATATGAACGATTCAAATTATTGAAATGAGATTTAAAAATGAGCTCACAAGACTCACAACACCTTTCCAATCTGATGAAAAATTGGATCGAACTAGACAGAAACCATAGCCAAAAGGAAACTACCTCCCAAATCCAAAAATTTTGTAAATTTTTATATTTTTTGTCTCGCATGATGTGTGACATTGTCACTAAAATTAGAAAAAAAAGCTGAAAAGGTATGGACACATTTGTTGTTTTGGAAAGATGGGTAAAGATTAATTTTTTAATTTTTTTTGAAAAATGTGTAAAAAAAAATAAAATAATATGACTTAAAATAAATTAAAAACTAAAAGATGACATTCTCACCGTGGTCCTTTGTATGGATAAAATTGAATTGGCACAACTCAAAACTCAATTTTGTGGAGAGACATTGAAGTTCTGCCAAACAAGACAACAACTCGAGGTATGTGTCTTTTATCTACTCTTGGCAAAATGTACATGCTTCTCTTCTTTCATCTACGTCTACACATATCATGTAGGGGGTTACTCATCATTATTCACATAAAAAAAAATAAAAAAAAATTTCTTTAACTTTTTAATTTTTTTCACACTAATTTATCAATTTGAGATCTAATTTGGGATTTTCCGTTCGAGGTATCGGGAAAGAATTGAAATGTGATAATATCAATTCGTACAGAATAAAATATTTTCTATTGATTCAAACACATATCTTTGGGATAGAGATAGAAGAAATAAAAAATAAAAAATTTCGCATAATTCTTTTGATGAAAAAATCAATCTCATTTATTTCATATCAGCAATCAATGTGAAAATGAGTCAACTTATAGGATCAAATTTATGGGTTATTAAATTACAACCATGTGGGCTATAAAATGGGGCATACTTTTCATGTCCTTGAATCCACCAACTCTGTGCCTTCAATATAGCAAAACCTTATACGATGATAGAATGTTGGTATTGGATTTTGAATTTGTGGAGAAAAAGCAATAATATCGGAAAAATATAAAGTGAAAGAAATTAAATACATTTCTTTTATTTGATTGGTTAGTGAAATAAGAATAAAATATATAGATTAAAAAAATTTGTTTTTATGCAGTTTAAAAAGTGTTAATTGAATAAGATCAAGAGTTATTCTTATCTGGCGCGATATCTAAGTTCGAGTTAACTTTCATTTCCTCATTGTCCTCATACTAGTTGTCAAAATCTTCAAAAAAATAAAAACCAAAAACACAAAAACAAACAAACAGTGTATTTGAATAAATAGTGATTTGTGTACTAGAGAGCTTCTATAATAAGATAAAACATCATGGGTCCATCAAATAATTGTGGGCAATGGGGTAACTACAATCAATGCATTACAACCCCAACTATACCCCATCCTTCTTGTAATGCAAATTAGGGATATCAATAGTGATGAAATCAATATAAATGTGTGTGGTCTAAAATTTTGTAGTTAACTTGTCAATTGACTTTGATTGAGCCCTACATAAAAACTAGAGTCAATGAACAGCCAACCTTTCTATTTTTTATTTTTTATAACTTTCTATATTTTCATCAAAAGATTATAAAAAGTTTGGGATGAGTTGTAAACTCAAATGTTTTAAGTTCAGTTCGGTATATTTTTCAAGTTTTATTAATTTATGTGATTTGGCGGAAATTATTTGGGATTTATTTAAGGATGGATCCAAAGAGTCATGCCTTAAAGAGGTCCCGTCATTTTTTTTTTATAAAAAAAATGTCTTTATCTTTTTAAGAATGAAGGGTAAATTTATTATCCAAGAACTCATTTCTTAAGCAAATAATTTATTTTATTATCACTGGATTTGCATTTCAAATGATATTTAGATTGGTCTCAATTTTAATATTAAATGTCTAACTTCTTTTATTGTGTAGAAAATTTGAAGAGTTAGTTAGTTTCATCCAACAAAACAATTTAAAGAAGAAGAAGAAAAAAAAAATCTTGCAAAATCAAGAAAGAATGCTAAAGTATTCCACAAAAAAATCTTGATTGAAAAATTCTAGGAAAGTCTAGAAAATAATGCATCCTTCAATTTCCATGTCTAACCAAAAAATGCAATAGAATAAAATAAATTTGATTTGGATTGATTTTTTTTTCTTTTCTTTCATATCAAGGTTTGTATTGATTTTCTCCTAAGAAAAATTAAATAATTTGGCCACTAATGCTACGGATACATAACCAAACAAGTATAAATAGTTCACATCTATAGATACGAACCCCGCAATGTGTATGCATAAATTGACATACATTGATTATGTGTATGTAACAGCTATAATTAGATAAAGTGTATGGCCCACAATATGCAATTTGTCACGATTTTTCTCATTCTGAAATTGTTCTTTTGTTCTTTTGTAACTGTTAAAATATCTTTTTAGATTTAATTGTTTCAAACTTAATAATGGTTATGATTGGTCCAACTATTTTAATATATATGTATAAAAGCGCTCATACACATATATGTACAATGTTTACTAAAACTTGAGGTTTTGTTACAAAGATTTAAAATAGAACTAATTATTAAACAACATGCATGTCATTCTTGCCAAAAACCAACACAAGATATGGATTTAGATTAGGGTTGTTTAGATTGCGGTTGTTTTAAGGTCTAATCAAGTTTTGTCAACTCTATTCCCATGATTGAGCTCCCTACAAGTTGGCATGGCCTAATTACCACCATAACCATTAAGAGAGAGTTAGTTCACACCAACTTCTCCAAATTCTTGGATTCAAGACAAATGGGAAGCTATGCATAACCATTATTTTAAATAAAAATAAAATATAGAACTCAATAATAACATATTAACATGGAAATTACAATTGTTTATAACTTGCCAACTATTTCAAAAGAAATATGTAGTTTTTGAAATTTTCAAAATTAAAGTTTTTAGTAAAAACTATCAAAAAGCTATGATATTTCAATTATTTTTTATTTTTTTATTTTTTTATTTTTTTATGATTATTAATTTTGAAATCATGATTGTAGAAGAACTTTTGGCTACAAACGAACCGAGCCGAGCCGAACTTTGCTGAGCTCGAGCTCGACTCGTTTACTTATCGAGCTCGTTTATTGAGCTCGAGCTCGGCTCGATAAGGAACTAGGCTCAAGCTCGGCTCGGCTCGATAATTTTTTTAATATTATTTAATATATAAATAATATATTTATTACATAATTTAAATAAAGATAAACGAGCCGAGCTTATGCGAGCTCGAGCTCGGTTCATTTACTAAACGAGCCTAATATTCGAGTTCGAGCTCGGCTCATTTACTAAACGAGCCGAGCCGAGCTTGTTCATGAACAATTCGATCTATTTGCAGCCCTAAGTGCAAAATAATCAAAAAAAGATTTTACATAACTTCAAAAATTAAATTTGGAGTTTTAATGTTGTTTCAATTATTAAGTCAACTACCAAAAAAATATTTAAAATTTCCAAGCTTATAGAAGTAATTTCTAGTTTCTTTGTTGCTGGAAACAATATTTTAATCATCAAAATTTCTTAAAAAATCGATAATTTTAAAAATTCAAATTCTTTGTACAAAATTGCCTTCTAAAATATTCGTACTAAAGGGAACACCCTAGCTTGGTCTTTCTTGTTTTGAAACTTTTCAATTTTTTTTTTTAAAAAAAACCAACTAATCATGAAGTTTTTAACTAAATATTTTCTTATCATATAAGAATAAGGCAAGAATTTTATAACATGTCATTTTCAAAGCTTTTCTCTCTTCATCATTCATGTTACAAACTTTTTTAAATTAAAAAAAAAAAGAAAAAAGAAAGAAAGAAAGAGAGGTTACATCACACTGAATTTTTCACTTTTGTAAAGAGAGAACTTACCACCTCTTATGAGAGGAAAAAGCAAATTCTATTTAACAGTGATAATACATTATGATTGATATGTGAAACGATCACATAATAAAAAATTTATGTAAATTTTACCCCATTATGTATATCACATGGTTATAGAGTCTTTGTTTGGTAATCAGTTGAAAATTATATATTTTTCTTGAATTTTTTTATCTTTAGTAATTTTTTTTTATACATAAAACTTGTGTATTTTTATTTTTTATTTATTTATTTATTTTTTTACTTTTCTGGTTCGTTTAGTGTAGAAAAATCTAAAAAATTAAAAAATCAAAAAAAGTTCATTAAAGACAATTTGTTTTTTTTTAAACTGTCCTAGTTGGTCAAGTCAAATAGAATTTACAAGTCTAAAATATTTAAATTTTTTTTAATAAAAAATTTACTGAGAAAGTTAATCACAATCACCCACAAAATTAGCTTAAAACATATAATTACATCTTAATAATGAGATCTACTATGTGTAATTTTATTATTAATTAATAATATCACTTTTAGGCTTCGTTTGGGAAGCCATGGTTTGGGCTTTTTTGGCTATTTTAGCCACAAAAAACAAAATAGACTATTTTAGCCATAACAAACAAAACATCACATCCAACTCATAATCATTACATTATTCTCTCACAAAAAAACTCAAAAAAGTCAAAAAGCCAAAAAGCCCTTCCCAAACCAAGCTTTTAAGCCCAGGCTAAAATAGCCAAAAAAGTCAAAAAGTCAAAAAGCCAACCCACTTCCCAAACGGAGGCTTAGTGAGAGTATTAGTATTGATAAAATTATTCCTATTAACATTTTACTTATGGAAATTATTGTAAGTAAAGATTATTGCAGAGAATCTTAATCCAAGATTATGGAATGTTGTGTATTTAAGGGAGGGGCATTATAGTCATTTCATAGTTTTACCAAACAATCCCTCAACTCCTTTGAAATGCTCATAACTCCCTCTTTTTTTAACCCTCAGTGGAACCTCTCTCTCTCTCTCTTTCTCTCACAGTATTTCTCCAACCAGACACCAACTCTGTAACATTTGAGTTGTACAGTATATATACATACATACATATCAGAAGCAGAGAACTATTACAAGGGCTTCTTATCCATCAGCCAATCCACACCCAGAACTCTAAAACCAACAAGGTACTCTTTAATTTCATGACTTGGGTTTTTCTTTTTGCATCTTTAAATCATAATGCTCAATTGGACGGTCATATTTTTGCTTGGTTTTGGTACTGAATTGTGTTAGATCTTTCTCTTATTTTGATGATTTCTTGTTTTGGTTTGAGTTATTGGAGTAATTGATGTCCTGATTTAACTTTCTCTGTTGTTTTCTGGCTCTGTTTGGCTGCAAAGAATTTATGGGAAAATGAAAGTTACAGTTGTGAATGTTGAATCTTTTGTCACTATGTGGAACTTGGAAACACAAATACGCCAATTGGGTTTTGTTCTTTTCGTACATTTTCTTATCAACCAGACTAGTATTTTACCCTTTCATGATTGATTACTTTGTAATACCTGAAAGTTCATAACAATTAAACATAAGGGGAGAAAACTACCTCATAGAATGTTTGGAATTATTCAATTTGATACATTTATCTAATTATGTTGCTTGTGTAGTATTCAAGATGATTTGCTTACTGAAATTTTGTGGGTATTTGTCCTTTTCTTGTTAAAGTTTGGCAATGGAGTCCAAAAATCGGGTTTCTGTGGAGGACGAGAAGGGTGTTTTTGAGAAAATTCATGAAGAGGGTGAGAAGGTTCTGAATGTGAATGTGATTTCTGAAAATGTAGTAAAGGCAGAAGAAGGTATTAATTCGTCAGTACCAGTGGTCAAATCTACTGTTGCTGTTTCGGAGAGTAAAATCTCAAATCCCCCGAAAGGGTCAAATGGCAGTGGTTTAAAGAGCGGTAAAGTGGCCAAGGATCGGCCTAATTCAAAAGGCCCAACTCCACTTGCTTGTAACACGAGGCGGAGTATGACTCAAAGTCTATCTTTCCCAGCAAAGGGACTTCATGCTGATGTGATGAAGAAGAGCATTGACGTGTACCCAGTGAAAGCCGATTCCAAAAGTTTCCGAGCAAAAGGGGCAAAATCGGAGTTGTCATTTTCTAATGGGACTGTCACTTCAACAGCCCGTTTGAATCCAGCTAATAGGCGAGCTTCTGTTGGACTGAACTCAAAGGAAAATAATGATGGCGGAGCATCAACTCGGAGGACTACTTTAGCATCTCTTCCAAGCTTTCAGCCGTTTATGGTAAGGTTTTGTGTTTTCCCTTTATTCTTTTCTCAATTCGCTTCCATTCATATTGGTTTGCCTGTGTTACTTGTGTCAGTCTGGAAAAACTGGTTCGGTGAAGTGCCCTCCATCCGACATCCCCTCGTAAGACTCATACTCAATGTCTTACTTTAAGAACTATCAAATTTGCTTATTTACATTTGCATTATTTGTTGAGTTATTGTTCTCTTTCACTGTCAAATTGAGAAAAACAAATATTTAGAGGAGACCTCTATTTGTATTTGTTGATTGGCTTGTAGTTATAAATTTTGTGTGTAAATGCAGATCAGTTGATCAAGATTCGAAACCTACTAAAACTGCATTAGCAACCAAAAAGGACGATGATGCCCACTCCACTGCTTCATCGTACTATTCTTTATCTTAGATTTCGTGTTATTGTTGTACTACTCTTTCATAGGCATCTTTGTCTTTTGTTGATGTTTACAAGTCGGTAATATCATATCAGAAATGCTACTCCTTGTGAGCAGCAGAGGAGCAGTGGCTCTGGATTTTCCTTTAGGTTGGATGAACGTGCTGAAAAGCGAAAAGAGGTGGATAATGAACTTTTTATTTTTATTTGTAAAATTTTTTATCACCGTTTTTTATGGGATTGTTATGAATGCGACAGAAGTAAATTTTGATTTTGTTAACCAGTTCTTTTCAAAGATAGAGGAGAAGATACATGCAAGGGAAGTGGAAAAGAGCAACTTGCAAGAAAAATCAAAGGTTTGTACTCAAAGGAATATTTATTTTGTTTTCAAGGCATTGTTTTAACTGCCCATTTTACTATTCTGGATCTTGTTCTGGTTATTGACCTCATTTTTGTCTTCGGGGTCCAATTCAGGTAAACCAGGAGGCGGAGATAAAACAATTGAGGAAGAGCCTGACATTTAAAGCTACACCCATGCCAAGTTTCTATAAAGAACCACCTCCAAAAGTTGAACTGAAGAAGGTAAATTGTTTTATTTTGCTTAATTCTAGTAATACATACAGAGTACTGTGGAGCCAGCTACACCATGAAGCATGATTTTTATAAATGACATTGTAACTTCTTGAAATCTATAGTTCTTTGTCTTGTTTTTTTCTTATGCATTTTCCATGCAATTCTGGTTCATTGAATTTTTATGTGGATTGTTAACGCAGTCCTTTTCTGCAAGTCTCTCCCTACTGGTACACACTTGAACAACATTGTACCACTTTAGTTTCTTTTTACTGCTTCTAAATCTGAAGATGTTGGACACAAATTGACATGATCTGAGGCCTCGGGCATGTGCATCTTTTTGGGGCTGCACGTGTGTTGGTTGCCAACATGCTCATGGTGGCCTTGTCACATAGGTAAAATAAGTTACACCAAAAGAACTTTGTACAACTTTTGTTACCTGAAGTCATCAAAATTCAAGAGAATTAGACATGGCCTTGCACCTGCAAGCATCTTCTTGTGTAGTGGTAAAACTAGTTCTAAACCATTGTTGTTCGAAATGTTTGGGCAGGTTGTGAGCAATATTTCGTGAGTATGTTGTGAATGATGACAGATTTCTAGAAACCGTGGTTTCAAACTGAACTGAACCTTGTTTCACTGGCTTAGTCTAGTTTGGTTCTAAGATTTTCGTGGTTTGGTTTGATTCCAAATTTCATAGGACCACAAATAATGGTTTGGTCCTTAATTTCCTCCTAAACTGAACCAAGATCACCCCTGATATATATGATTCTGAACTTGTAGATGGATGCGTGCGTTCATGTACTTATTCTCCAATATCGGTGTGTGAGGGTGTGATTTCGGCTGAATCCTCCCAAGTTGCAACATTCAAAGTATCAACATTTCTTGCTTTAATGATTGTGCTTCTTGTTTAGAGCTGTCTCATTATATCTCTGTCTTTGTTCGCACATGTGATTGTGTTTCAAGAAACATATCCAATATATTCTATTTTTTTTCTTCTCTTTACCTGAGGACAAACCTTTCTGACTATAAATAAGGCATCATAATTAGTGTAGCATTTTGGAATGCCATGGAAATAGTTGCTGATTGTAGTGTTTTTTTAGCATTCAAGAAGTCTGCTTATTTTCTTGGATGCTAGTTTATGTTCAGTTTATCTCAGAACTTTTAAATTGTTTCGTCTTCTCCTATAATTCACTTGATCTTTCCTTTGCATGTCAGCCCTATCTTTCTATCGTGTATGTTGATTTTATAGATACCAACCACACGTCCAAAATCTCCGAAGCTAGGAAGGAACAAGAGCTCCATTGCTGCGACAAGCAACTTCTCAGAAGGTAACGGGTCATGTCTTGGCCCACACATGAACCAAGACCAGGGCAAGTCACCCAGAGCTACCCAAACAAAGTCTAAGGATGCTTCTACTTCAAAGAAGCCAATCAGGAAGTCCTTGTCCGAGCTTCAGTCCCCAGAATCTGTGGCCACTAAAGCAGAAGGAAAACCAGTCGAGTCAAAAATGAAAACCACAGAAGCAGAAGAAAGCCAAGATCAGAAAGCTAGTGCGGAAGAATTCGAAGAAAACCAAACGAAGCCTGTGATTCCTGGTGAACTTGAAGATGATAAGATTGGCATGGAGTCTGGCACGAATGTGGTCGAAGATAGTGGTCCGAATACAGTCTTAGCCATTCCAGAGATCCAGCCTGCTGAAGTCACAGTTGGAGGTTAAACATCTAAATTTTAAGACTCTATTTATAGGTATTCTTCAAAATCTTTTGAATTTCCATTGTTTTGTGAATAGTGTGTGGTGGTGGTATGTTACTTTCAAATGTTATAAATTGGCAGCTACAAATTTCAAATGATACTTTCTAATGTTTTCTGTATTTAGAGGTTGTTTGGGGTGTTCTAAATAAGTGTATTTTTTGTCTTTTTGAATTAAAAAGTTGAGGAAGAAAATATAGTTGTTTGGGTTAACTTTTTGACTTTTTATGAAAAAATGTGTATTAAAAAATTATATAAATTAGTGTGTAGGAGAAAATTAGGATTGTGAGTTATGCAGCTGTAATTTTTGATTTTTGATAAATAGTGATAATTTTTTAACTTTTTAAGTAACTTTTTGACTTTTTTTTTTTCTTTTCAAACATGGCCTTAATTTTAACAAGTGTGTGGCAGAACTATGAGGCTATGGTGAAAATCATAGCCTTTTCCATATATAAATAGACTGCTATCATTCTTTCTTTTGTATGTTTGTCTTGTGGATTAGCATTCTTTATAAATCTGATGATTAAATAATTTATTATTTGTCTGGAATTTGCTTGGCTGCCTAATCCTAAAGTGAGTTTTTCTCATTTTACCATGAAAAAAAGAAAAAGAAAAGAAGTCTTCTGCTCATTGGACTTTCTAGAGGTGGTGGCGATACTTAAGAGTATGTCACATCTATTAGGCCCGGCCTATATTTTAGGGGGTGTGCCTGTCCAGTCGTGTAAAACCATGTAATTTTTTTTTTCTTTTCTTTTTTTACTTTTACTTCTATGTTTTAGACAAAATGATTGTCTTCTATTATGTGTTGAAAACGTGTCCGTGAGCAAATTGAAAAAAAGTTAGTGAATGGATCACCGATTCAACCGTCGGGTTAAAGTAGTTGAACTGTAACAACATAATTAATATTATATAATTATAAATTATAAATAAATAAAAAAATATATAAATACTCAAATAAAAATAAAAATTATTATATAATATTTATTAATAATATTTAATAAAGTCATAATTGATAAGAAAAAGCCACTTGTTTTGAAGAAATTAATTTTTTTTAACATTCCTTCCAAATAAATTGATTGAATGCTAGATTTAATTTTGGAGGGAAATGAAATTTTCAACTCTCTCCAATCAATATGATTCAAATAATTTGATTGAATCCCTCATAGAATTTTGTAAGTTCTTTTTGAAATTTTTTTTCCTATAAATACCAATAGACTTTTATAATCTCTTCAAGCTTTTAATGAGATTTTTTCTTTTTAGAGAAAGGTTGTTAATGAATATATATATATATATATATATATATAAATATATAAGAAAGAGAGAGCAAGAAAGAAAGAAAAGAAAAGAAGAAAATTAGAAATTTCCCAACCGTCGGCGGTTCTTCTGGTTTTGACAATCTAGGCCGATTTTCAGCCTAGTCTGGGTTTTGAGGTTCTTTCGTACCGGAACTAGGCCTAGGTCCCGGTTCTACTGGTTTAACCGGCCGGTCCGGATTTTAAAACATTGATCTTGTGTGTGTGTTAAAACTGACAATACAACCAACTCCGGAGAGCTTGATGAATTTGCCGAGAATGATTATGCTAAAATCAGTAACTCACAAGAAATATAATGCACAAATAATTGAAATGCACTAATTCACACTTACTTTCCACCTTAACGGGTTTCTGCCTCTATATAGAATGTTTGTCACCTCTTAAAAGATGTGTCCGCCTTAATTACGTTTCTCTTAGGAATAATACAAAATCTATCCTCTTAGAAGATCCCTAACTACTCCTAAGCTAAGAGTCATTTGTCATTATCTAGGATTCCCCTCTCCTAGTTGCGTTCCTCTTAGAAGAGTCATACTACTCATAACGTAAGAGTCCTTTGTCTACTAGAAGCCATGTCTTCACTGCATATCTTGACCTAGGCATGGATTGTTTTCATACCTCAGTCAATCACATCTCGCCACGTGATATCTTAAATCTTCACATATTTCTTCGCTATAAGATGCATAAACAGTCAGTCACGTAATAAGTCAAACTTACAAGATAACTTCTCGTACATAATGATTAAATGTTAGGTTTGTACATAGCCCAACAAATACACAGAAGACAATCAAATGTACCAAAACCAAATCAATTTGAGCATTGTGTCCTAATGTTTTTTCCAACATTGAAATCATGTAGTAGTTTATTGTGCCATGTCAAGCCCCCACTTTAATGCAGGGTTTCCTGAGATTATTCTTTAACCAAGCAACAATCATAGAGTAAAAGTGAAAAAAGAAGAAAAGAAAAAAAAGAAGAAGAAGAAGAGATATTATTCACTTTGCTTAATGTTCCTTCCCACAAAGAGAATAATGTTCCATGTTACTACTACTCATGTTCTGAAACAGGCTAGTACTTGGAACTGGCCTATTAGTGTTCATTTACCTTTTTAGTTTTTAGTTTTTATTTTTTTCAAAAAAATAAATATTTTATTTGGTGAATTGTTTCTAAAAGTAACTCACTTTTTAAGAAAAAGCAAAAAGTTGTTTTTCATTTTTTTTTATTTATGAAATTTACTTTTTGTAAAAAAAAAAAAAAAAGGAAAATGTTGTCATTATTTTGTTTAAAAACTATATTAGAAAGGCAGGTCCACCACCCGTTCAATCATTTTTTGTTTTTGTGTTTTTGTGGTTGGGTGGTACAGTCTCATTCCATTATTGAGACAACATGGAACATGCCATGCCATGGTATTTGGCCAGGCTGTGGCATCCAAGAATTCTTCAATGCAATGAATTAAGGGTAAATTACACAATTCTTCTGGAATTTAGAAAAAATATAATTAATTTCATATTTACATCAGTCTCTTTTGAAATTTTAATTCGCAGAACACTTGGTCCATTTTTCATCAATAATTCGTTTGCCGTATAGATGAAAAGATGATGTTATCTACTTTCTACTAAAATGTATATATGTTTATTTCAATATCTACCCACAACTTGTATTAATTTTGATCATTTTAATTTTACTAAAAGAGAAGTTAGTATAATTATGCTAAATTTATGGGGTTAATTATATTTTTTTCAAACGTGAAGGGAAGTGAGTATAATTTACCCATAAATAAAGAGAATGCAATGCTATTATTGTTGTATTCATAACCAATGCAGAAATGGTGGTCCTTTTTTTGTGAGTAAAATTGCTTGTCAAATTACAAGCCAGAATAATTTTGGAGTTTTTGACCGGAAGTCCCTGTCTACATGATTTTATTGTCCAAAGGCCTAACTTAGAGCTCGTTTGGGAAGTAAAAGTCCCAGGTTTTTTGACTAAAATAGTCATATAAAAAAAAGGGGGCTTTTTAGCCTAATAAAACAAAATGTTACATTTAATTCATAATCATTATATTTTTTTTTTCATAAAAGTACAAAAAATTAAAAAACTCATCCTAAACGAGATTTTTTAATCTCAAGCTAAAATAACGGTAAAGCCAACTCACACCGGAAAAGAAAATTTTGGCGCAATAAGGACAAGAACAACAAATGTACAACAAGGTATGACGTGTTTAGCAAAGTACCTTTAATTCTAAGACTTTAAAATCACACAATTTATTGTGTTATAAAACTAAAGAAAATAAAAAAGAAAGAGTCATAATGGAAGAGAAAATAAAGAATTTTTTTATATCTTCATTACCATATAAATTCACCTATTTATAAGTGATAAAACTCTCTTTATTCACTATTATTCACTACACCTTGTGGTTACCATATGGCATACCACAATTCTCACATGGTAAAACTATCCCCTATTGTTACTTTGGCCCAAAAACTCATTTAGAATTCCAATTGCATCCCTTTGGATGGTTATTCAAATATTTCACAACACTCCCCATTGGATAACTATATATTAAGAATATGTCTTGTTAAAACCTTACCAAAGAAAATTCAATGGGAAAAACTTTTGGTGAAGGAAAAAGAGTACGGTATTCTTGTATATGATTTGTTTAGATTGCCTCATTAAAAACTTTGCTAAGGAAAACCCAGTGAGAAAAAACCTTAGACGAAGAAAAAAGAGTGCAATCTACAAATCTGCTTAAATAGATGACTCCCCTCAATGCTGCATAATAGATCTTTATGTCGACGCATCCCAATATTATGCACCATGCTTCTTGAATGTTGCAGTCGGTAGTGCTTTAGTAAATAGATTTGCCAGATTATCACTTGAGCGTATCTTTGATATAGCCACCTTTGATATGTGTGATACACGTAGCATTATCTTCATATAATATGGTTGGACTATCTTTTGTTGAAGACAATATACATCTTTCTTGAATATGATGGATCATGGATCTAAACCAAATACATTCTTGACTTGCTTCATAAATTGCAAGTATTCTTGAATGATTTGAAGAAGGAGCCGTCAATGTTTGTTTACTGATCACCAAGATATAACAGTATTTTCATAGATAAAAACATATCTTATTTGTGATTTGGCTTTATGTGGATCAGATAGGTATCCAACATCTGTATATCCAATTAGCCGTGGCTTTAATCTATTTGAATAAAATAAATTCATATCGGTTATTCCACGAAAATAACGTAATATCTACTTTAGTTCATTCTAATGGCTTCTGGTTGATATAGAAATATATCTTGCTAATAAATTGACTGCAAATGCAATATTGGGCTCAGTACAATATATAAGATATATAATAGCACTAATTGCATTGAGATATAGTACTTCAGGACCAATAATTTCTTCACCATCTTCTGGAGGGTGAGAAAACCATTGGAGTATTTAATGGATGAGCTTTTTCCATATAAAAGTGCTTCAGGACTTTTTAATTGATGAACAAGAATTCTATTTGGCAAATGTTCAATTTGTAGGCCGATAAAAAATTTCATTTCACTAAGATCTTTCATTTCAAATTCATTTTAAATATTCTACAGTTTATGTAAGCTCTTCTGGAATTCCACAAGATTCAAAACTTCAATATATATTGCAATAATTGCAAATTTGGATTCATCACTTTTGGGGTTTTTCAATTAAATGCTTTTGGCACCTAAAATTCTTTAGGGACTTATATATATATATATATATATACATATCTATACATGTGTATCACTACCTAGTGATCCATCAATATGTTATAACCACGTCTATTAAAAGCATATCTAATTTTTTTATGATTTCCAAGCTGATGAGAAATCTAAATGCAATTGCA